CCCCCCCCCTCCCCCCCTTTCCCCTCGTCGCTGCGGTGGGTCCACTTGTTACTAGTAATACACAAGAGGAGGGAGGAAGGAAATGGGAGGTGGAGTTCTGACAGGGTTCTAAATAGTGACCGCTGGGGCAGACCGGCACATGAGGCCAGTCAGTGTGTGGGTTGCATAAGATTTGAGGAACAGTTGTTGCCTTTGGTAAGTGGCCACCTCTACAGACCGGGCAGGGCCGGTTTGGGTGTGGCCTCTGGAAGCACCGCATCCAATTCTCACGGTCACAGTTACTGCACCGAATGACACAGCGTAGACAGATGTCACAGGCTACATGTCTCCTACATGGTAGGAACACAGAGGCACGGCGACTGCAATTGTAGAGGCATTGCTGTTCCAGCCCGTCTACAAATTGTACATGACATGTCAGGGTGCCGTACAAGAGTGCAGTATGCCGCTGGAATGAAAGCCTTGCTGAGATTTCCGCATTCTGCTGTGGTTTCCAAGTCTGTGTGTGTGTGCGTGCCTGCTGGTTTGCGTGCCTGTCTGAGTGCTTGTCGGCTGAGTGTGTGTGTGACCCGCAAGGGTACTTGTTGGTTGAAAGGCCCTGCAGGGCCGGTACTTACCTGTGGCCGTGACTTTGAGGGTTGCAACGGGGAAAACACTCAAGTAGCAGGTAGGCCGGTACCACTCAAGTAGTGGTAGAAGTGTCGGGTACTGGAGGCCGAACAGAAGAAGACAAAAAGTTGGCATTTTTAGAGGCCCAGTAGCGGTAGGATAGAGGTAGGCCGGTACCAGTCCAAGTAGCCCGAGTCTAGGGCTTGTCCGGACGATAGCAAGCCTGCAATGACGTTTCCCTCCGAAAGGGAGGAGGTACCGGTTGCTGGGAGGCCGCTCGGCCTAGGAAGTCACCGCCCAAGAGGCCAGTACGCCGCTGTATCTTCCGGAGGAGCAAGCATCTCCTCCTCATTTGCAGTATGCAAGGATTGGCGACATGCTGCTGGAGCCAAGCGCTGGACTTGGCCCGCGCTGCCTGGAGGTGATGAGCAGCTTGGTGCTCAGCCTGGCTATGGCGAGGAGCCCAGCCTGAGGAGGAGGAAGAAATGGGTGAAGGAGGAGAGTGGCGAGGTACCTACCTGGCTATGGTGGACACCATCTTCATCACCTTGTTGGGCGCTGCATCTGGAAGGCCCCAGTTGGGGTAGTGCCGAACCAAGGAAGCTCGAGGCAGAGTCAGGCATGGCGGCTTAGTCAGCAGCAGCATAGCTGCTTTAGGTTGTCCTTTGGACAGGAGTGCAGCGACATAGCTGCTTTAACATTGGCCACCATCGGGGCAATCATGATGGAAGCACGCCTCCGGCGGTACCCGCCGGAGGTCTCTCTCGCTGCCTTAGCTAAGTTTGCTAAGCTCTCCTGGAGTCGCTGGACGGATGAGCTCTCCAGACTGGACCCCCGAGTTGTAAAATATCTGCCTTTTCACTGGAAAATACAAAATAAATAAAACAGGGACAGTAGGGCTGTACTATGCAATACTTGAAATCGTCGGGATTATGGGAATACGGGAATTGAGTGGATTTCGGTTTTTCCTTTTTTTAGTTCGGTTCCAACGAGCAGTTTTTTTGGGGTGTTAGCCTCTGCGAAGAACGGCTTTTTAGTTAGAGCAGGGTACAGGGACCGGCTGAAGTGTACACTATTAGGAGAACGAACCCAGTGGTTTAGCTCGATCCAGCGTCATGAGCCGTCGAGGTATTCGCGGGCAAAGCTTAGTAAGTGGCGCTGAGTTTTTCTGCCAGGCGAGTCGTGTCGACCATAGCGGGCACATCTAGTGTTGCTGTTTTTGCTGAAGGGACTCGGGTGAAGGGAGGAAGTGAGGATGCGAAATGGGAAGGGGAAGAGCTGAGGCCAGGAAGAAGACGGAGAGGATGTGAGGAGGACAGGAGTGGTGGGAAGAATTGAGGGTGGGGAGTGTGATACTAATCGGGAGGATCAGCGACAACCAACCAATGGACGATGAGGAACTGGATCATGATCCACGGACGAAGAACCCAGAGGGAGGTCAGCATAGTACGTAGGATATCAGGGTAGGAGTAGGATAGTGGTAAGGGTCAGGCACATGCAAGTCTTTTCGAGAAGTATATAAGGAGAAGTAAGCGATCTCATCTTGACACGGTCTCAAGTTGAGGGTTGTCTACTCTTTGGGAATGCTCCCTGAGGAGTCTGCCAGGTATGCAGGCAGCGAAACGGGTCGGGGCGGGCGTTAGGGAGGCACATCGGGATGGGCGGGTGGAGAGTTCGGACTCTCTCTCTCTCTCTCTCTCTCTCTCTCTCTCTCTCTCTCTCTCTCTCTCTCTCTCTCTCTCTCTCT